ATGGCGCGCGCACTCAGACAGACGAGATTCTGTTCATTCTCCATGACACAATAAATATCTTCGCAGTGCTTGCTGAGACCTGGCAATATGACATTTCCTTGTAAATAATTTCCCCTCGTCGCGACACTAAACGTGTCGCTATGACGGGCCTCGAGTTTCGCTTGATCTCTCTTCGCCGCTAGTCGTCAAGAAGTTCGTTCGTGTCAGCACGGATGATCATAACCTCACATGTTCGGACGTCCGCGTGGATTTTTTCGGTCGGCGCTGCTCCCCTGTTCTCAGCAATTTCCCTGGCGCGCGGGACGCGCGTGGAAGCCTCGCGGACATTCGCTCGGACCTCATAACGTTTTCGTGTAGGTGTTCCAAACTCTCCTGGAGAGTTGGGTTTTTGGTTTGAATCCGCAGCGCCCCGCGTCACTTTTCCTCACGGACATATCCCCCTCCTCTTCCTCCTCCTCAGCCTGCCCTTACCCCCTTGCAGGCCCATGTTTGGACATCCCTCACCTACGGCCTTAATGAAGGCGCTCGTGTGCCGGCGCTGCCTCATTTAGGCACACTCTTTTCACACGAGTCGTGACCCCATAGGCCCACAGGGGAGCTCCGCATACGGCCCCCGCGAGGGCGTTCGTATGGCGACGCCGCTTCACCTCGGCAAACCCCCTCCCTCTTCCCGTCCTCCTTTCCCTCCGATCCCCTCCCCCCGCTCCCACTCCCCCCCTCCTCACACTCCTCCTCGGTCTCCTCGTCATTTTGCTTGGCGTCGTCGTCGCCATTTTCTCCTTTCCCTCCCCCGTCCGTCCCCACGTTTTTATGCCAGGTCCGCATGAGCGTCGGGAAGTCCCGTTTCTTCCAGCTCCCCCTCCTCATCCTCCCGTCCCCTCCCCCCTCCCTCCGCACTCTTCACCTCCACCTCCTCCTCCCTTCTCCCTCCTTCCCTCCCCTCCCATTCCCTCCCCTCCTCCTCCTCCTCCTCCTCCTCTCCTCTCCTCCTCCTCCTCCTCCTCCTCCTCCTCCTCCTCCTCCTTCTCCCCCCCCCCCGCTCCCCCCCCCCCTTCCCTGCGCAGGTGGCGGCTGCATGGGGCTGAAGTTCCGCGATCGCACCATCAAGGCGGCGCCGCCCCGCGACGAGCGCACGCGCGGCGGGTGGGGTGGGTGGGGGGGGGCAGGGGCGAAGGCTCGGGGCGCGGCGGCCGGGTGGTGGTGTTGGCGGGCCCACGTGGAGAGGGAGGGGGACAAGGAGGGAGGGATGGGGAGGGAGGGGGGGAGGGAGGAAGGGAGAGAGGGAGGGATTGAGGGTGAGGACGAGGAGGAGGGGGAGGAGGAGGAGGAGGAGGAGGAGGAGAGGGATGAGGAGGATGAGGAGGAGGGTGAGGAGGAGGCGGACCAGTGCAAGCCCAAGGCGCATCGACGATGTTGCAATCAGCCCTCCCTCCAAGTTCTCTCTCCACAGTTCCCTACAATAATCCATTTTCATTGCGGGATGTGCCACCTTGGAAGTCAACCGTTTGAGAATCCTCAGTCGTATTGAAACGATATTCTGTGCACATCACCGCTGCGAATCAAAGCGACTGCTGCGTATTGGCAATCCGAAATCGTGTCAGAACGCCGTTCTTGAAAATTCAACACAGCAACTCAACGAGATTGTTGTATCCTGGCAACCCTAAACCTTCGTGCCAGAGCACAGTGTCTTGGGCTTTAACTTCCGCCACACAAATCCTTGAAAGTGGTGTCGAATTTTACGACGAATGCGCGCGGCACTAAGGCGAGAATCACGTCTTGGAAAATGATCAGCCCTTCATCCGTGACACGGTTGCACAATGTTGAGACGCATGCTCGCGGCTTTCGGCGAGAGACACATTTTGAGAAAGACCCGCCCTTCCTCAGTGATACGGCTGCAGACTTTTAAAACGAAGGTGAGCGGCGCTAACATGTTGAAACGGCCCTCCGTCCATCCGAGAAACCGTTGCGCATTCCAAGCCTCACGATCACGAATAATCATGCAGTCTCTAGCAATGGTGATTATGATGCTGCTGATGGTGATGATGATGCCGAGGAGAAGGATGATGATGACGATGCCGATGACGATAACAATGACGACGACGATGCTGATGATGCTGATGATGATGCTGATGATGTTGTTGATGCTGATGCTGCTGCTGTTCACGATGATGCTGACGACGATGCTCACGATGACGATGATGATGATGCTGATGCTGCTGATGGTGCTGCTGATGATGAAGGCGACCACAATGACGACGCTGCTGATGACGACGATGCTGCTGATGATGATGCTGATGATAATAAAGATGATGATGCTGCTGATGATGATGATGACGATGGTGATGCCGCTGATGGTGATGGTGATGATGATCGTAATGATGATCAGGTTGATGAGAATGATGCCGATGCTGATGATAAAGCTGAGAATGATCACATCAAGATGCCGCTGCTGATGATGGCGGCGCTGCTGCTGATGCTGGTTAGGGTGATGATGTTGGTGATGGTGATGCTGATGATATTGATGATGAGGATGATGCTGCCGCTGATGCTGATGCTGATGATGCTGATGATGATGACGCTGATGATGCTGATGACGATGGTGATGCCGGTGATGGTGATGGTGATGATGATGGTGATGATGATCCGGTTGTTGAGGATGATGCCGATGCTGATGATAGTGCTGATGATGGTCAAGTCAAGATGGCGCTGCTGATGATGACGGCGCTGCTGCTGATGCTGGTTAGGGTGATGATGTTGGTGATGGTGATGCTGATGATATTGATGATGAGGATGATGCTGATGCTGATGCTGATGCTGATGATGCTGATGATGATGACGCTGATGATGCTGATGACGATGGTGATGCCGGTGATGGTGATGGTGATGATGATCAGGCTGATGATCAGGTTGTTGAGGATGATGCCGATGCTGATGATAGTGCTGATGATCAAATCAAGATGTCGCTGCTGATTATGACGGCGCTGCTGCTGATGCTGGTTAGGGTGATGATGTTGGTGATGTTGATGCTGATGATATTGATGATGAGGGTGATGCTGCCGCTGATGCTGATGCTGATGATGCTGATGATGATGACGCTGATGATGATGATGACGATGGTGATGCCGCTGATGGTGATGGTGATGATGATGGTGATGATGATCAGGTTGTTGAGGATGATGCCGATGCTGATGATAGTGCTGATGATGGTCAAATCAAGATGGCGCTGCTGATGATGACGGCGCTGCTGCTGATGCTGGTTAGGGTGATGATGTTGGTGATGTTGATGCTGATGATATTGATGATGAGGATGATGCTGCCGCTGATGCTGATGCTGGTGATGCTGATGATGATGACGCTGGTGATACTGATGACGATGGTGATGCCGGTGATGGTGATGATGATCAGGATGATGATCAGGTTGTTGAGGATGATGCCGATGCTGATGATAGTGCTGATGATGATCAAATCCAGATGCCGCTGCTGATGACGACGGCGCTGCTGCTGATGCTGGTTAGGGTGATGATGTTGGTGATGGTGATGCTGATGATATTGAAGATGAGGATTGTGACGACGATGGTGCTGATGCAGATGCTGACGATGCTACTGATGGCGATGATGGTGCCGATGCTGATGATGATGCTGAGGACACAGGTACTGATGACGATGCTGATGATGACGATGACGATGATGATGATAATAATTCTGATGCTGCTGATGATGATGCTGATGCTAGTGATGGTGCCGCTACTGATAATTACGTTGGTTGTAGTTGTTGTGGTGGTGATGGTGATGCTGATGATGCCGATGGTGATGATGATGATGATGATGATGGCGATACTGATGATGGTGATGATGATGTTGCTCGTCATGATGATGCTGATGCTGATGATGCTGATGGTGATGGGTATGCTGGTGATGATACTGATGGCGACGACGATGCTGATGCTGCTGCTGATGATGATGACGCTCATGATGCTGATGCTGATGCTGATGCTGCTGATGATGAGGATGCTGATGCTGCTTCTGATTCTGGTGATGATGCGGATGATGATGCTGCTGCTGATGATGCTGATGCTGATGCTGATGCCGATGTTGTTGCTGACGATGATGATGCTGCTGATGCTGATGCTGATGCAGATGATGATGAGGGTGATGATGACGATGATGATGATGATGTTGATGATGATGATGATGATGATGATGATGATGATGATGTTGCTGCTGATGCCGATGAAGAGGACGATGCTGATGATTATGATGCTGTTGATACTGATCATGAGGCTGCTGATGCTGATGCTGATGCTGCTACTGATGGTGCTGACGATGCTGATGCTGATTGTGATGGTGATGATGGTAATGATAATGATGCTGCTGCTGCTGATGATGATGATGATGCGGAGGAGGAGGAGGAGGAGGAGGCTGAGGAGGAGGACGATGGATGATGGATTGACGGATGGATGAATGAATTTATTGATGCTGGATGTTTGGATGGATGGGTGGATGGAATGAAGGGGGGAGGAAGGGATGAAGGAAGGAAGGAGGAAGAGGAGGTGGAGGCTGAGGAGGAGGAGGTGGAGGCTGAGGAGCAGGAGGGAGGAGGAGGAGGAGGAGGAGGAGGAGGCGCAGGAGGAAGAGGAGAAGGAGGAGCGCGCCTGCGAGGCAGACGCCCAAGGCTACAAACACCTCGCGAGCCAGAAGCCAGGAGGAGGAGGAGGAGGAGGAGGAGGAGGAGGAGGGGAAGGAAGAGGAGGAGTAGAAGACGAGGAGGAGGAGGAGGAGGAGGAGGAGGAGCAGAGGAGAAGGAAGAGCAGAGGAGGAGGAGGAGGAGGACAAGGAAACGGAGGGTGAGAGGAGTAGGCGGAGGAGGAGGAGGAGGAAGAGGAGGAGGAGGAGAAGGACGAGGAGGAGGAGGCGAAGGAAGAGGAGTAGGACTGGTCTATGATAATTTGCCGCTGCAGCTGGAAGTATGGGATTTCCTCTCGTCCCTCCCTCCTCCATCCTTCCGGGGAGGAAGAGAGGATGAAGGCACATTGATGCGGAGGAGGATGACAGAGGTGATGGGAGGGAGGGATGGATACAGTGAAGGCGGGAGGAGGATTGGGAGGAAGCGGAAGAGTAAAAGGACACGGATTGTTAACCACGCATCAGGAAACAGAAATAAGCCTCCTCAATCCTCCCTTGTCCCTCCCGCCTTCATCCTCCTACCTCCTCTCTCCCTGTCCCTTCTCCCATTATCCCTGCTTCCCGCTCCCTGCTCCATTTTAATATTTAGTTTCCCTCTCTCTCTCTCTCTGTTTCTCTCGTTATGGGCTCCCCCTCCCTGTCCTTGCGCCCTTCTTCCTTCTCGAGCCTCCCGCCCCCCGTTCCCCTCCCCCCTCCCTCCTCCATCCTTTCTTCCTCCTCCCTGCATGCTTCTTCTTTCTCCTCCACTACTCCTTCACTATTCCTTTGTCACTGTCCCTCGTTCCTCGTCTTTCGGCGCCTCTCCCTCGTTTCTTCTGCTCCCATCCTGATTTCTCCTTCCTCCCTATCCCCTTCCTCCTTCCCCCCCCTCAAGTACCCTGCCCTTGCTTGCCCTCCGCAGGCCTCCAGAAGCATTCTGGCACCCGCGAAGCCTGGGAACCAGCCGAAAAGATGCGGAACTCTCCGACGTCCGCCGAACGCCTCCGAATGCTACGAATTTGCCGAAGGCCTCCTCCTTTCCACCCTTCCTTAACCCCCCTCGCAGACGCTGCTTACGAACCAGTCCCCGTGCCTCTCTTGGGGCAGAATCTTGGAAGGCTTTCCAGGCCGCGTCCAGCTGTGGCGACGAAGAGAGGCCCCGAAGTTCGAAAGGAGGAGGAGGAGGAGGAGGAGGACGAGGAGGATGAGGATGAGGAGGAGAAGGGCGAGGAGGAGGAGGAGGAGGAGGAGGAGGAGGAGGTGGAAGCATCATCGTCTCAACAAGGATGCACAGAGAGTTCTCGAAAATAAAGGTTATCCGATGTGGGGGGCCTCAGTGGCCAGAGATGGGCTGGAGCATGGGGGCCTGGAGGACTTCGTATGAATTCTTCAGCGATATTTCTTTGCGCTGCGGGTCTTGCATAGGTGTTCTCAAGCGTGTCCGCAGATGTGAGATCCAGGTTCTGCGTTCCTCCACGAGACCCGAAGCAAGTCTGTCTCCCTTCAAGGCTCCAGCGCTCCTGGACCCCAAAGTTCCAATGTCCGCGCCAAATCCTGGTATCTTCAGATCTGATCAGGCACCTGCAGGCCGAGGTTAGGAGGACGTTTGGCGGAGGAGGAGGGTGAGGAGGAGGAAGGGGAGGGGGAAGAGGAGGGGGAGGAGAGGAGGGGGGAGGAGAAGGAGGAGGCGGAGGAGGAGGAGGAGGAGGAGGAGGAGGAGGAGGAGGTTGGGGTCTCCTCCTCCTCTTCCTTTCCGCCCTCCCCCCCTGGAAGCAGCATGCCCCCGGACGCGCACCCGGACTCCGCCGGACCCGGCCAGGTGTACAACAACGAGTGCGGGAAGCCATGCAGCGGGCCCAAGAAGATGTCCGATGGGTGGGGGGAAGGGAGGGAAGTGGAGGAAGTTCTTGCAATCCGCCGTTGCTCATATAGTTGATTCTCTATATATGCTCGACTCCGTGAGCTCAATGTCGTTACAAAAGAAGGAAAGGAGGTGGCGGAGGAGGAGGAGGATGAGGTGGAGCAGGAGGAGAAGAAGCAGGAGGAGAAGCGGGGGAGTCTCGGAGGTGTTCCGTCGAATTCCGCAGGCTCCCGCATTTTCTCAGTGGTGTTTCGGGGTATTTCGACCTTTGCCAGAAGTATTTGTAAGCCTTTTCGGAGGGGTAAAGAGAAGTGCAGGAGAAGAATGAGAGAGGAGCAAGGGGAGGGCGATGGCCTGGGGTGGGAGAGGATGGGGATAGGGAGGACGGGGGAGCGAGGATGAGGAGAGCAGGGAGGGGGAGGAGGATGGAGGAGGAGAAGGAGGAGGAGGAAGCGGAGGAGCACGAGTGCGATGGTATTGATGTTGCTGCCGACGACGGCGACGATTTTGCTGCAGCTCATGCTGACGAAGACGCTGCCGATGGTGACGATGATGACCATAGCGGCGATGATGATAATAGAGTTATACCTATCAGAATATTCATGATGATGATGCTGATGATGATGATGATGATGATGATGGTGTTCATTATGATAATGAGCATGATGCTGATGATGACGATGACGACGAAGGTAATGACGATGATGATGCTGATCATGATGATGCTGATCATGATGATGATTCTGATAATGATTGTGGTGAAGGTGGTTTCGATGATGAACCAGTTGTTGATGATGTTGCTGATGATGCTGATTATGATGATTTCGATGACGATGTTGATACTGCTGATTCGAATGATGATGCTGTTGATACTGATGATGATCATGAAGATGAGGATTAAGCTGAAGCTGGTGATGAAGCTGCTATGATGATGATTGTGGTGGTGGTGGTGCTGATGCTCTTGCTGCTGCTGATGATGATGATGGTGGTACTGGTGAGGATGTGGAGCATGATGGTGATGATGATGGTGCTGATGATGACCATGAGGATGATGAGGAGGGTGAGGACGGTGGTAATGATGATGATACTGATGCTGGTGATGATGATGATGATGATGACGTAGGTAATGTATGTATGTATGTATGTATGTATGTATGTATGTATGTATGTATGTATGTATGAATTTGTGTATGTATGTGTGTATGAATGTAATGTAATGTAATGTAATGTAATGTAATGTAATGTAATGTAATGTAATGTAATGTAATGTAATGTAATGTAATGTAATGTAATGCAATGCAATGCAATGTAGTGGAATGGAATGGGCTGGAATGGAATGGAATGGAATGGAATGAAATGTAATGTATTTATGTATGTATGTACGTATGTATGTATGTATGTATGCATGCATGCATGCATGCATGGATGTATGTATGTATGTATGTATGTATGTATGTATGTAATGTCTGTATGTATGTGTGTATGTATATATGTAGGTATGGAGGTATGTATTGCATATGCATGTATGTATGCATGTATATAGGTATGTATGTATAGCTGTATGTATGTATGCATGTATGTATGTATGTATGTATGTGATGTTGTTGATGATGATGGTGCTGCTTCTGATGATGGTGATGGTGATGTCCATGGTGATCGTGATACTGATGCTACTGTTGGTAGTAGGGGTGATGGCGATGATGGTAATGCTGATGTTGCTGATACGTATCATGCTGATGACGATGGTTGCGATGGTGGTGGTGATTATGATGTCTTAGTGGTGATGGGGATGGTCATGCCGATGGCGTCGCTGGTGATGGTAATGCTGTTGGGTGTGATGTTGATGTATGCCGGGGATGCTGACGATATGAGTGATGACGGTAGTGACGATGCTGATCATGTTGGCGATGCTTGCCGTGATGACGATATTGATTCTGATGATGAGGCCCCTGATGGTGATATTATTGTTGCTGACAGCGACGACGATTATGATGATATTGCTGTTGTTGATTATGCTGTGGATGCTGATTGTTATGACGATGGCGATGACGACGCAGACGACGACGACGGTGATGATTCCGATGACCTTGATGATGACGATGACGGTGACAACGGCGATGATGAGTCGGATGGCCATGCTGTTGCTGATGATGATAATGCTGACACTGATGCTGATGATGCGCAGGATGATGATGATTTTGATGACGATGACGATGACACGTGTAATCATGATGGTGATGTTGATGACCATGGTGATAGGTATGATGATGCTGATGCTGATGCGCCCTGCTCGCTATATCCCTTTCCCATCTTCCCTCCGAACCCATCCCTTCAGCTCCCGACCCCCGCTTTGTCCCCCCTTCACCCCTTCCCTTTCACCTCCTCACCTTCCCCCCTGGACCACGGCGTGGGTCGGCCGCGGGATTGGGGGCCCGACGACGACGACGACGACGATGATGATGATGATGATGATGATGATGATGAGGATGTTGTTGTTGCTCATGATGGTGATGCTGACGGGAAAGCTGATGATGATGATGATGATGATGATGATGAGGCGGATGATGTTGATGATGAAGATGATATTGATGATAATGATGATGGTCATGATGATGGCGGTACCGCTGATGCTGATGATGATGATGATGTTGGTGTTGCTCATGATGATAATGATGATGACGGTCATGATGATGATGATGATGTTGATCATGATGATGAATTTGTCGATGCTGATGATGGTGGTGAACATGAGGATGATGATGACGATATTGATGATGATGCTGCTGATGATGATTCTCGTGACGGTGATTATGATGATGACGACGATGCTGATTATGATGCTGATAGTGTTGATGATGATGATGATACTGAGGAGGATGATGATGATGCTGGTGGTGGTGATGGTATTGATGCTGCTGCTGGTTGTGGTGACGGAGATGGTGATGCTGCTGATGATGATGATGATGATGATGACGAGGGTGATGATGATGATGATGATGATGATGATGATGCTGTTGGTGATGGTGATGACGATAACTTTGATGCGGATGGTGGTGACATGACTGGTGATGTTCATGGTGATGATGACGCTGTAGTTGGTGATGGTGATGGTAAACAGGACGACAATGACTACCAGGCTGACGATGCATATTAATATGATTATGATGATGGTGATGACGACGAGGATGGCGATGATGGCGGTGCTGGCGACGATGATGCTGATTTGGATGATGATGATATTAATAGTACTAGTAATGATGATGGTAATGCTGATGATGATATTGATGACGATGATGATGATGATGATGGTTGTGATGCTGATGATGCTGACGCGGGTGCTGATCATGATCATGGTAACGAAGATGAAGATGGTGATGCTTCTGATGATGATTCAGGTGATGCCGTTGTTGATGATTATGATGGTGAGCTCGATGATGATGATGATGCTGATGCTGATCGTGGTGATGCTTACGATGAGGATGACGATGAGGATTTTGATGATGCTGATTCTGATGGTGACGATGCTCAGGATGCTGAACAGGATTATGATGCGGATCCAGATGTTGATGATGCTGACGATGCTGATGACGATGATGTTGATGATGACGATGCTGACGATGATGCTGATGGGGCTGACGATGATGATGATGGTGCTACTACTGATGATGATACTGATTCTCGTGATGATAGTGATGATTATGTTGATGACGATGCTGACATTGATGTCGATTGTGATGCTGATGACGATTATGATGCTGGTGCAGCTGATGGTGATTGATGATGATGTTGATAATGATGATACTAATGATGATGATGCTGATGCTGATGATGGTGCTGCTGATGATGCTGATTATAATGTTGGTGGGGATGCGGACGATGCTGATTCTGACGTTTGTAGCGATTGTGATTGTAACGACGACGATGACGATAATGATGCTGATAACAGAGATGATGATGCTGATTTTGATGCTGATGACGATGATGGTGGTGATGCTGATGATGGTGCTGATGATGGCTATGATGACGATGATGATGACGATGACGAATATGATGACGATGATACTGATGTTTATGATGACGATGCGGATGCGAAAGAGGATGCTGACGATGCTGATGATGATGATGATGCCGTTGCTGTTGATGTTACTGTTGATGATGATGATGATGATGATGATGATGATGATGATGATGATGACGACGCGGAGGGGGAGGATGATGAGGATGAGGAGGAGAAGGAGGAAGAGGTGGAGGAGGGAGATGAGGAGGAGGAGGACGAGGAGGAGGAGGAGGAGGAGGAATACGAGCACGAGGCGGAACGGAGGAGGAGGAGGAAGATGATGTGGATGAGAAAGAGGAGGATAGGAAGGGCAACCATGGATCAGAGCGCATGGATTAGTGACGGGGTCCGCGTAATCGGGCCCCACTGGCCTCATGTTTCGGGTATAGCTTGGCCGATCCGTGCATCTTTCCATGTGCGAGATCCACGGGTCCGTAATCCATTTTAGCGTTGGGGAGAAGGAGGAGGACGAGTAGCAGGAGGAGGAGTAGCAGTAGGAGGCGGAGGAGGAGGAGGAGGAGGAGACGGAGGAGGAGGAGGAAGAGGAGGAGCAGGAGGTGTTAGTCATATTTTCACCTTGCCCTCACCTGCGCTGCTCTCTTCACTGCATAGCGGGGCTGCGTTGGCTGGCGGCCATCTGCCAGGCCTGGCCAACGGGCGCGAGTCGGCATCCCAGGTTGCCGGATGGGCACTGGCAGAGTGCCGTCGAAGTGACGCCTTTCACAGCGTGTGGAGCACGTGGTGACGGACCTCTTCTGCAGGAGGACGTGGAGGTTGGTCACTGGTTGCCCAAGGAAGCAGCTCGAACAGTGCGAGGGTGGGGATGTCGTGCGCGATGGTGATGGCCCTGATGATGGTGGCCATGCTGCCAGTGACGACAACGACGACGACGATGATGACGGCGGGGGCGGCGTCGACGACGACGTTGACGACGATGGTGACCATGGTCAACGGTGATGATGTTGATGCATGTCATGATTACGGCGACGATGGTTGTGACGGTGCTGACTCTGAAGATGACGACGATGGCGACGATGATGATTGCGACGGTTATGATGACGATGGTGATGACGCTGACGCTGTTGATACTGCTGAGTCTGATGATGACCATGACGACGGTGTTGTTTTTGTGGTTGCGATGGTGCCGATAATAAGCGCAACGATGCGGTGAATGAGGTGTCATTTCCGGGACAGGAGGAGGAGGGCATGGGACCCGAGGGGCGACGACGATTGTGACGTGATGATGATGATGACGATGATGATGATGATGCTGCTGCTGATGATGATGATGATGATGATGATGATGATGATGATGATGATGATGATGATGATGATGATGATGATGATGATGATGATGATGATGATGATGATGATGATGATGATGATGATGATGATGATGATGATGATGATGATGATGATGATGATGATGATGATGATGATGATGATGATGATGATGATGATGATGATGATGATGATGATGATGATGATGATGATGATGATGAGCAGCGGCAGCAGCAGCAGCAGTATGGGCGGGAGCAACAGCAAGAGGAGGAGGATGAGGAGCAGGTGGAGGAGGAGGGGAAGCAGCGGGAGGAGGAGGAGGAGGAGGAGGAGGAGGAGGAGCTGGCGCCTCGGTGGAGTGGCCGTTTTAGGGCTTGGCAAATACAAGAGGAGGAGGACGGGGAAGAGGAGTCTCAGCAGGGGGCTGAGCCGCGGGGCCCTTCGCTAGGTCCGTGCCCACGCCGCTTGACGACCAGTGCGGCCGCGCTGGCACCCCTTGCGTCTTCTCCTCGTGGTCCGAGTGGAGCAAGTGCCGCCTCTTGGGGGGGTCGTTCTCGTATTCGTCGTCGCTGTATTCGTCATCGTATGTGTCGTCGTCGTCTCCGTTGTTGTCGAAGAGTGGGGGTGGGGCGGGAGCAGGAGGAGGAGGAGGAAGAGGAGGAGAAGAAGGAGGTGGAGAGGGTAGGAGTGAGATGGGGGAAGGGGACTGGGGTGAGGGGAGGCGACATGGGGGAGCGGGGAGGAGGAAGAGGAAGATGATGATGATGATGATGATGATGATGATGATGATGATGATGATGATGATGATGATGATGATGATGATGATGATGATGATGATGATGATGATGATGATGATTGATGATTGATGATGCTGATGCTGATGCTGATGATGATGATGATGATGATGATGATGATGATGATAATGATGATGGCCATTATGATGACGCTGATGATGATGATGCTGATGATAATGATGCGGCTGTTGCTGATGATGATTACATGATGATGATGCTGCTGATGATGATGAAGATGTCGATGATGGTGATGATGCTGATGCTGATGCTGTTGATGATGATGATGGTGATTATGATGTTGCTGCTGATGATGCTGCTGACGCTGATGATGATGGTGATGATGATGCTGATGCTGATGTTGATGGTGCTGCTGATGACAATGAGGAGGATGACGATGGGGATGATGCTGATGCTGCTGCTGATACTGATGCTGACGATGCTGATGATGATGCTGATGATGATGTTGATGATGATGCTGATGATGATGATGCTGATGATGATGATGCTGATGATGATGATGATGATGATGATGATGATGATGATGATGATGATGATGATGATGATGATGATGATGATGATGATGATGATGATGATGCTGATGATGATGATGATGAGGTGGCTGCTGCTGATGCTGCTGATGATGATGCTGATGAGGATGCTGATGAGGATGAGGAGAAGGATGAGGAGGAGGACGAGGAGCAGGACGAGGAGGAGATGGCGGAGAGGAAGAGGGGGGAGGAGGACGACGAGCATGACAAGGATGCGTTTTTGCCTGTCCTTTCTTTCCTCGCCCTCCTCGTCCTTCTCCCCCTTCTTCCCCTACTCTTTCTTATGCTCGCCATCCTCCGTTCTCTTTTCCCCGCCTCCCTTTCTCCGCCTCTCCTCTTGCCGCTGTTCATCCTCCTTTCCTTTCTCCCCACCCCCTTCCCCTTCCCCTCCCTCCCTCCCTCCCTCTCTCCCCTCCCTCTCCTTTCTTGTTTCTCCTTCCCCCCTGCCTCCTCTTAGTTCTCCTCCCCCTCCTCCTCCTCCTCCTCCCCGTAGCCATTTTGGCTCAAGATGATTGGTTCCCCTGGGGACCGCACGGATACCGCTAGTCCGCGGCCAGACCACCGCTCGCCTTCACCGTGGGAGTTGGGCGCCCACACCCAGTCCTTTCCAGATCGCGCTGCCACGGCCCACCGTGTGTGCTGCTGCCTGGTGTCGTGGAGATGCCACCGTCGCATTACCGCTCGGAGCAGGCGCTTCCTTGGTACTGCAAGAGCTGCTGCGGGCCCTCGGGGAGACCGTGGTGGAATCATGCAGAGGCGCGGCAGTGTGCGAAGTGCAAGCTGGGCAAGGGACTGGTCTTCCACAGCGTGCGCCAGCCCTCGGCCCCCTCCCAGCGGAGGAAGGGCAATCAGGGCGGCAGCGGCAACGGCTACTGGGACGACTCCGTCAAGGTGGCCAAGCTCAAGTCCGAGCTCGCCGAGGCCCGCAAGCGGCTTGCCGCTGTGCAGAGGCCGCCGCCTGGCGGGGAGGACGTGCAGATGGAGCCGGCCGCGGACGGAGACCTCCCCGAGTCCGTCGCCAAGGACAGGCTACGCGAGGTCGGCGACCTCATCGGCAAGCTCAAGGGCATCACCGAGCCGTCGGTCGTGGCCACGCGTGACAAGCTGCTGGCCGAGCAGGCCGAGCTGCGTGCTAAGGTGGCGGAGTCCCGACCGCTCGGACAGCGCTTGCGCGAGATGGGAGCTCAGTTCACCAGGCTGCAGAAGCTGCGCGACGACCAGCAGACCAAGCTCGATGGGCTGCAGGCGCAGATGCGCGACCTGCAGGAGAAGGAACGGCTCACTCGGGACAAGCTGGCGGCCCTCGACGCTAGCATGGAGGAGCTGGACCAGGAGCGCAAGAGGCTTCAAGGGCAGGTTCCGACGCCTGGCGACAAGGCGTCGCTCGACGAGCCGATCAAGGGGGTTGGTGCCACGCTCGAGGGCCTCGGGATCTTGCTCCAGAGCCTGGGCGCCGATCACCAGCTGTCGGGCAGCCTCACGGCGAGCTTCCAGGAGCTGCAGAGGTTGCAGGAGGAGGAGGCGGCAAAGTTGGCTGCCCAGAGGGCGCAGGCTGATGCTGGGGCCGAGGCTGGTCCCGACGTCGAGCAGGCCGAGCGGCAGGACGACGCGGCAGCGCCTCGCACACCACAGCCATCTGGCTTCTCCGACGACCCGGAGTTCATGGAGGAAGTCGTTGCGGCTGGGGGCGAGAAGCACAGGCTGGAGGAGATCTTCATGCGTTGGGGTGCCAAGGTCAAGAAGCCCAGGCTTACCCCTGCCTAGCATGGCTCCACGGCGATGTTTTGCGTGTCTTGTGTGGTTCGTCCTCCTTTGTCGCACCATGGCTTCGGTTTCAAGTATCACCACCGTGAACGTGTCCTCGGGCGGCCCGCTCGTCGATTTCCTGCCCACGTGCTCGAGTTTATGCATCGCGGTGCAGGAACATCATGCCAAGGCCGAGGGCGATGCATTGGCGAAGTTGCAGAATAAAGTAAGAGCTGCTGGGTACCATGGTATATGGGAGCCCGCCCTACCTGGGCAGGGAGTTGGCAGCAGAGGCGGGGTTGCGGTGCTGGCCCCGCTGCGGGTGGTCATCACCAAACCCCCAGGCCTGGACAGTCACGTGCTGCAGGAAGGCAGGATGATGGCGGCCCATGTCCACGCTGGGGTGAAGGGCGGCTTCGTCATGCTGTCGTGCTATTTCATTGTGGACGTCAAGCTGTCGCCCGAGAACCTGGCCATGCTGTACAAGCTGTACCAGTATGTCAGGTCGCTGGAGGCCATGGGCGTTCCGTGGATCGTAGGAGGCGACTTCAACATGGAGGTAGGCGAGCTCGGCCCGTTGTCCTGGCTCCAGTCGGCCAATGGCGTGGTGCTGGCGCCGAGAGAGCCGACTTGTCTTCAGAGCCTTCCTGGCCGCACCATTGACATGTTCATGGTTTCTTGCCGTTTGCTGCCTCGCGTTCGGCAACCAGTGGTCGTCGACGCGGAGACGTGGCCGCATCTACCAGTGACCATGGAGCTCTCCGCCACGGCTTTTGACGCGAAGGTCAGGAGGCTTGTCGAGCCACGCGGCTTTCGGAGGCCGCCTGCGGCGGGGTGCGCGAGGTTCCCCCCCGACTGGGACCCGATCTTGGCGATCATCCAGAGCGCGTCGGACAGCGAGGGCATCACCAGGGCCTGGGACGTCGTGCTCAGCGGCATCGAGTTCGAGCTGCGGGGCCGCTACGACGTCGTGAAGGACGTGGCGGGGTACTCCACGGTGCCAGGCCCCCCGACCTTCGAGCTGGCGAGTGTTCACCCTGTCGTGAAAGGTGCCTGGAGCAGGAGGTCGGCGGACACCCAGGCCTGGGCGCAGGCTGCGCGCTGGGCTCGTCACCTCAGGAGGGTTCGAGTGGCCTTGCAGAGCTTCGTGCTCCAGCTTCGCCCGCAGCAGGTCTTCGAGCTCGGCAGCGTCGGCGAGGCGCACGTCGACGGAGTGCCTGGCCTGGGCGATGGGGCACCCCCTGCTGCGGAGGTCGTCGGAGTGGCTGGTCTCTCCTCCGATGGTGGTCGGCCTCGGTCGAGAGCTCAGCGACACCAGCCCCCGCGACGTGCAGGCGAGGACCTATCGTGGGACGCCGTGCACTCCAAGGCGGCGCGCCACCTGCTGGAGTGCGAGAATTTCTTCCAGAGAATCTGGCGGAGGAAGGGAGTCTGGCCGCACCTGGACGCCGAGGCCGTCGGCTTCTTCTCGCGTGGCATACTTGCCTTAGCGCAGGCAGACTTCGAGCAGCAGGTCGACCGCATCCTGAGTATCTCCTCCGATGCTGAGGCCAAGCATGAGAAGGCCGTGATGCAGAGCTGGAGGCAGTGGGCGCAGGCAGCTTTTGTGGCTGGAGCCAAGGGAGCTCACCGATTCATGAAGCCCAAGGCTCTCCAGGAGATCGTGGACGGAGGCAATGGGCTACAACATGGGTACGTACTGGCTGATCGTAAGCTTGAATACTGGGAAAGCTTCTGGGTGCGGCATGGCGGTGAGCTGGCTCGCCGACCTGTTGATGCTGACACTTGGGAGCAGCTGCCAAGGCTTGAGGCGGCCGACGTACTCAAGGCAATCCGTTGTTTCTCTTGGCAGACAGGCGTCGGGCAGATCAACATCGCGCCCAGGGCCATGGAGCACCTCTCCCACGGGGCGCTGACGGCCATGGCGCGCCTCTTCGAGCGGTGCGAGCACCTCCTGCTGTGGCCAGACGGCAGATTCCTCTCGAAGCTCGTGAGACTCCCCAAGCCAGGGGGTGGGGAGCGCCTGATTGTGCTGATGAACACGCTGGTCAGGATCTGGGGACGGGCGAGGCGGCCTGTCTCGGCAGCGTGGGAGAAGGCCCATGCGCTCCCAGAGGTCTGGGGCCACACTGGAGGCAAGTCGTCGAGTGATGCGGCCTTTGATTTGGCGCTCACCAAGGAGATGGCGACCCTGTGCGATGACGACGCCATCATTGTGCTGCTGGACATGCTCAAATGCTACGAGCTGGTCAGGCATGATGCCATTTTGTTGGAGTGCAGGGCCAATGGATATCCTATGCGAATGGCGTTCATGCTTGTGCAGATGTACCAGCAGCTGCGTTCGGTGTACTCGTATTCTTCGTATTCAGTGGCGCGCAGGGCGTATCAGGGCATCCTGGCAGGCTGCACCCACGCCACTACGCTTCTCATGGTGTTGTTGACTCGCAGCATTCGCCAGACGATGTCGGTCGCTCCTCAGGTTCAGCCCAAGGACTTGGTGGACGACGTCGCGCTGTGCTGGGTCGGCAACGACCCGAGCGGGGTGCGAGAAATGGCCATTGCCACTCGTGCGTTCTGCAGGGCTGTCCGGCCCCTCGGGCTGGTGCTGCAGATGGATAAGTCTGGGCACCTAACGACGTCCAGGCGCACCAGCTACCACTTTCAGAAGTACGCTAGGCTGCTGAAGATCGCTGGCAAGAGGCACATGCGGTATCTTGGCCACGACCTAGCTGGGTCGTCGGCCACAAGGGCCGTGCAGAAGGGACGCCTGAAGGCCATGCACGGCAAGAAGGCCAGCGTTCGAGCATTGCAGAAGGGAGCAGGACGACAGCGGGCGGCTCGGCTCTGGGCCACGGGTGTGCTGCCATCCGTGGGGCACGGAGCCACGGTCAGCGGCATCAGCGACACGGAGCTGCAGCAGATGAGGACCATGGCTGGCGTCTTCTGTGGCTACAAGGGGTCGGGCTCCCTGACGCTGTACCTGGCCGCGCAGCAGTGGAACTTCGACCCCATTTTCCACGCTACCTTCAGCATCGTGGGGCAGTACGCGGCGTGGGTGTGGGATGGGCGTGTGACGCTCTCCCGACTGCAGCGGGCCTGGATGGGCTTGCGTGACTCCTGGGAAGCCCGCCACACTCACGTCACGTGGGCCAGTGCGCAGGGCCCGCTGTCGGCTTTGTGGTTGTCCCTCAGGAGAGTCAACTGGAACATGGCAAGTTCTACAATCTTGGTTGACGATGAGGGCCTGCATATCAGTTTGCTGCAGTATTGTCCCAGTGAGGTGCTGTTTTTCCTGCGTCGCAGCCTCGACCGTTGGCAGAGCCATCGTATCCTCGACCAGCTGCCTGAGGCGCCCCCAGCCGATGGTGACGGCAGGCGGCAGCAGCATGTGTGGCTTCGTGCGCTTCGACTGGGACACGCCTCCTTGGCGCCTGGCCACAGAGGGGCTCTGGCCAAGCTGCAGTCCAACGGGTTCTGGTCGCCGCAGCGCCGCATGCAGGCTGGCTACGGCGGCGACGGTTCGTGCGAGTTCTGCGGGGAGGCCTGCTGCGACCTCGAGCATGAGATCTTCGGCTGCAAGGTATTGCATCAGCAGCAGGAGGACGAGGAGACGGAGCCGTACCCCGAGGAGGTGGCCAAGAGGAGGAAGGACATCCTGGAGGCAGCCCCGTGGCGCGACGGGGGCCAGGTGCAGGACTTCTCGGCCATCGACGTGCTCTACGCGCTGCCCCTGAGGCCTGTTTTCAGGCCGCTGCCTGCACGTGCTCAGGCTGAGCGCGAGTGGGGGGCGATCGACATGCCGTGGCCGTCGAAGTTGTACGGGGACGGGTCCTGTCTTGAAAGTGATTTCCCTGAGGAACGGCGCTGTGGCTGGGCCGTCGTGGCATTGACCCGAGACCTGTGGCCATGCAAAGCTTTGTTCGGGAGCCTGGGGGGCCCTATCCAGACGGTGCCCAGGGCCGAGCGCGTTGCTGGTCTCAAGGCCCTGCAGAGGGCCCAGAGGCCAGCCACGTACGTGACTGATCATTTACAGCTGCAGGTCGAGGGAATGGCCTGGGAGGGTCGTCATGCTTCTGCCAGAGCGCCTCACGCGTCCATCTGGCGGAGCATCCACGAGCTGTATAGAGGCGACCCTGTCAGGCCCGTGTTTGTTTGGACGAAGGCCCATCGGACCGTCATCGAGGGGTTTGATGCCTGCCTGGCTTCCCAGGAGCCCCTGGAGCATTTTTTCGGTAATATGTGGGCTGATGTTTTCGCCCGCGTGGCTGCGGCAGATTTCCTTGGATCCACCTCCGTGGTCAAGGCTCACAAATTTTCTCTGCTTCGGGCCCAGGACACGATGCGTTGTCTGGCCTGGGCTGCCGAGCGCGTGGCCCGCCTCTCCACCCCGATACTCCGTGCGCCTCCGAAGGCTGTCTTTCGGCCCCGCCGTCCGCGGCGGCCGACCGATCACGACTTTGTGGTCTTCGCTGGGGGAGCGATTCGATGTCGTGCCTGCTGGAGGCTTGCAGCGACGGCTTCGTCGTTGAAGTCTCTGGCCTCCCGTGCTTGCGACCCCCAGGAGGTCGGGCCAGGACGCCAGGTCCAGGCCTTGGATCGAGTTTTGATCTGTGTAAAGTGCGGGGCGCACGCTGTGCGCCCCAATCGGCTGTCGGTCGGCCTGTCTCGAGCGTGCAAGAGGGCTGGGACGGGGTCGGCGGGTGCTGGGAGTGGGGGGGACGGAGCTATCGCGTCGATGCTCGAGCAGGCTCGAAGGGGCCTGCATCCCAAGACGGGCGAGCCCCTCGAGCCGCTCGTCTTCTCGGAGCTCGGGGAGCCTGCGATGCCGCAGCAGGCGCCCGAACCCGAGGCACCTGCATAGTGGGCGGAAGTACAGGCGTGGGTTTGTCTTCCCAGCGGGGGGCGCGGTGCGAGTGGGGACTGCCCGGCGTTGCGCCGTTAGTGACCCTCGCACCGTTGCTCCCCGGCCCCGCGCACGGCGCGGAGAGTGCCCCTTGTTGGATGAGGGTCTCTCTCTCGTCCCTTTTCCTTTTTCGAGGCGTGTTCGTGATTCACCTGCACGCTCTCGGCACTGTCCTCACTGTCCTCCTCCTCCTCCTCCTCCTAAGTCCCCGCCTCTGCTACCTCACCCTTCCTCACATGGATCGTATTCCCCGGGGAGCTCCATTGAGGGCCCCGAGTTGTGGACTTCTGGGACCAGCTTGTTGCTCCCGATCGTATCGCCCCACAGGGAGCTCGCCCACCTATGGCGACTGGGGGGGCCTTCGCCTGCGGGCCCCCGCCCCAGTTCGGCGCACCCCTCACACAGCTGTTTGCCCAACAGGGCGCTCCACCCGCTGCCCCGGCGGTGGACTTCGCGTGCGGCCCTCCGCCCGCGTCGGCCCGTTCCCCGCACGCACTGTACCCCGCGGGGAGTTTGCAGAACGGCAGCGGTGCGGGAACCAGCGTTGCGGGCCTCTGCCGACTGCGGCATGCCCGCCGTGCCCCTCGCCCACTTCGGTGCACCCCTCCTGCGGGCCATGCCCACCGAAGGGGTTCTGCGCCCACGGGTGCGGCCCCCGCTCCCTCTGGCACTTCCTGCGGACGGATGGCGCCGCCTGCTCTGGCACGCCCCGACATTAAAGAACATTAAAGAACATTAAAGAACATTAAAGAACATTAAGGGGCCTGGTCATGCTGCTCTTCCCTCCTTCGCTCTCCCCTTCCAGCGGCGCCTCCTCCCCGTCGCCGGCCAGTTGCTCGTCCGACGACGACCAGTCGATGAGGTCGCGGGCGGTGGAGAAGCCCCCGAGCCAGGATGGGGACGCTCGCGGGACACAGATGGGGACGAGGAGAATGAGGATGAGGATGAGGGAGAGAGAAGGGGGGAGGATGTTTGAGGACGACGGGGACGGGGGGGTGCGGAGGGGAGGACGGATGTTCCAGCGGGTTCTAGGTGTCAGGTGAGCAAGGGAGGGAAGGATCGAAGGATGGGGTCGAGGATGAGGGGGAGAGTGGGGGAGATGGAGAGTGAATGATGATGTTGCTGTTGATGATGACGGCACTGGTTATGCTGGTGGTGATGATGTTGTACATTACGATGACGATACCGATGGCGATGGCGATGATGCTGCTGCTGATGCTGCTGCTGATGCTACTGAGGTGTGGTGATGTATGATTGCTGTCGATGGATTGTGCACGATGGCGATGAGGATGGGTGGATGGATGAGTATGGTATTGATGGCGGGGACGACCAGGAGGGAGATCAGATGGAGAAGGAGGAGGTGAAAGAGGAGTAAGCTGTTGAGTAACCTTCAGCGACCATTCCGATGTAATTGTGAAGCACGCGTTTTGGGTTTGTGATTATGTTGTTGCTGCTGGAGGTGTTGGTGATGGTAGCGGTGAGAATGCAGACGATGCTGCTGCTGCTGATGATGCTGATGCTGACGATTATACTATGGATGATACTGATGATTGTGATGCGGCTGATGATGTTTTTGATGAGTATGCTGATGCTGATGATGCAATGCAAATGCTGCGTCTGATGATGATGATGGTGATGCTGATGATGCTGATGCTGATGATGCTGATGACGATGATGGTGATGCTGATGACGACGATGCTGCTGATGATGATGATGATGATGATGAATCTGATGATGCTGATGATGATGATGATAGTGATGACGATGATGATGCCGATGGCGATGTTGACGACGATACTGCTGCTATTGCCAATGCTGGTGATGATGCTGCTGACGGAGTTGGTGATGATGCTGATTGTGACGGTGGTAGCGATGATGCTTGATGGTTATTCGATGATCGGTATCAGGAGGAAGAGGAGGTTGAGGAGAGGGTGGAGGAGGAGGAGGAGGAGGGGGTGGAGGAGCCTCTTGGACGATCGCGGAGGCAACGGACAGGTGAGGACGCGCCGTGAGAGAACGCCCCCCAGTCAATTCGAGGGAGGAGCTCTGCATCGATTCACCTCCTCCACCTCCTCCTCCTCCTCCTCCTCCTCCTCTTCCTCCTCCTCCTCCCCCTTCTCCTCCCCTCCTCCTCCTCTGGCATTGGCATCCGCAGAGAATGGGTGCGGTTCGCCTGGGATGTTACTGGTCGACGCGTGTTGTTTGCGGTATACGTTCGGCACCTGCCGGACGTCGATAAGCTGAGCTACTCCGCCAGGATCCACTGGAAATGCGGCGCCGCTGGCGAGGGCTCAGCACGCACCGTGTCATACTGCTGCTGAGATGGAGGTGGAGTCGGTCGGCGATGGAGACGGTAATGGAGATGCCGATGGAGATGTCGAGGACGTCGTTATGAGATATGATGGTGGTGGTTGGTGATGTTGCCGATGTCGTTTGTGATGGTGATGCAGTTGATGCTAGTGTTGGATGTGATGCGATGCTAGTGATGGTGATGCAGCTGATGAGATGGTGCTGACGATGTCGGTGCTACTGTTGGTAGTGATGCGCTGCAGACACGGATCCTGGATGATCGTTGACGATTGTTTTTTCGTGTGTTGATGCTAATGGTGGTGCAGTCATTAGTATGACGAGGAGAGAGGAGGAGCATGATGACGACAACGACGACGATACTGTTGCTGCTGCTGCTGACGATGATGATGATGGTGATGGTAATGATGATGATGATGATGATGATGATGATGATGATGATGATGATGATGATGATGATGATGATGATGATGCTGATGCTGATGCTGATGCTGATGCTGATGATGCTGATGATGATGATGATGATGCTGATGCTAATGCTGATGATGACGATGATGATGATGATGATGATGATGATGATGATGATGATGATGATGATGATGATGATGATGATGATGATGACGATGCTGATGATGGTGGTGGTGGTGATGATGATGAAGTCAACGACGACGACGGCGGCGGCGACGACGACGACGACGACGACGACGACGACGGCGGCGGCGACGACGACGACGATGCCGCGCCCAGCAGGGCGGCCAGCCGTGCGCCGGGGGCGTGAAGGAGACGAGGGCGTGCGGCCCCGACCCTCAGCGGAGGGGCCAGGGGGCCGCCGCCGCCGACGGCGGCGCCGTGCCCAGCAGTCGGGGGCGTCCAGGGGGGGGGATACCATGGGCAGTGCCATGAAATCTCGGCCACGTGCAGGGGGAGGGTTAGGGGAGGGGGAGGGGGGGAGCCGTCTTGGAGACACCCCTGCTTCTTGGAGACCCCGTGCGGGCCTTGTCTGAAGATGGAAGGCCCGCGCCTTCTAAGAAGCGGTCTTCTTCTAAGAAGTCTTCCCCCCTCCCCCTACCCCCCTCTGCGCGCCGGGGCGTCAGGGGGCGGCAGGATATCATGGGCAGTGCCATGAAGTCTTCCCAGATCTCACTGGCCCCTCATTGCCTTCGATACGTCCCCTGGCCCCCCCACCCCTCGTCAGCGCACATGCCTGGGGCAAGGACTTGCGAGCTGCTCTCTTGGACGCCCCCCTCCCAGACGCCACTGAAACGGCACTGGCGCCGTGCCCAGCAGCGGTGCCGCGTCTGCCACATCACTCGAAGCATGGCCCAATCTGCACAGGCATACATTTTGGGAGATCCGCGCGGGTTTCTTGGACGGGCGCTGCGGCCAGGGGCGGCGCCGGAGGCGCCGCCAGGGGTGTCCAGCGCCGATCCACGATCTCCGCGCGGACGTCCGAACATTCACGATCATGGTTGCTTGTTCCTCTGAGGAGCTCACGCGTGTTCCCCCCCTCGCTGCCGCTGCTTGTCGGCCCCGCTCACGAGTGGCCCTTCGCCTGGGGACCGGTTGGTGTGCGGCCTTCGGGGTGCGCGGGGGGGGGGGCCAGACCAGCGCACGCAGGCCGCTGCTGCTGCATCGCCGGCGGCGATGAGCAAGCCGCGCAGCAAAGGTCGCCCTTACCCAGGGCCACTGGCGTGTAGCCGAGTTTGTGCTCCCCTCTGGCTCTCGCCTCTGTCGCTTGCTGTCTGCTGCCCCTCTTGGCCGCCGCGAGCGTTGCTGAGCGGGCGGATGCAGGTCGTCTGCGTGGCACCTCGTTCTTGGGCCCAGCTGGGCTCTCAGAGAACCTGCCTGGAAGGCCGAGTGCAGTATCAAACGATTGAGGTCTTCGCCGTCGCCGTCCTGTCCTCAGGTTCTTTCATGGACCCCTTGTTGACCGTGTATCTTTCGCCTCGAAGATTGCCAGAAACCGCGGGACACCGCCGAAGACCGCTGAAGCCCATCACAAGACCGCCAGAAGACCGTCCGAAGACCGCGGAGGACCATCGAAGACCGACAGGTATAGCAAGGGCCCCTGGTCGAACGCGCAGCCGTCCTTCCCACTTCGCCCAACTGGAGTACCTGGCGCGTGGGGACCAGGCTGAGGACGAGGAGCAGTCGCTAGTCAGGCAGGCACAGGATGATGAGGCTAAACTTAAGTCGGCCATGTTCCCCTAAAGGAGGCATATCCAGAAATAGTCAACAAATAGTCCGGCGACGAGTTTGTTTTTTTGGTGTTGCGTATTTTGGAGTGCGTTTATTTCGATGTGTTTTGAGCATTTTCGTTTTTTCGCCCAAGATCTCCCTGTAGGGGGACAGGCCCGATCTACAGGCGGCCTGGATTAGTAGGTCGACCCTGCCAGATCAAGGGTGCCCTCGTGTCCTGTGTCTTGCGACCCATGCCCCCTGCGTTTCTGTGACAACGTGGCCATCGGAAGGGTCTTGTGTCCTCTCGCGTGTCCTCTCCAATCAAGTCCGACTGTAAGGCTGAATCGCTCCACTGCGTCCCGGGACGCTCCCAGTGGCGTCCGGAGGCGCTCTCGAGCGGCCACGGCGCCCGCCGCGACTCGCTTCGCCAGACCCGCCAGCTCTCTCTCGGGCGTCCAGGGCCTCCTCCTCGCGCGGCGTCTCCTCGGGAGGCTTCTAGGCCATGCCGCCGATCCCCAGCAGAGAGAGGGTCGGAGGGAGGAGAAGCGACACCAACACCGCCAGGGGGCCCACCTCCAGCGAGGAGGTAAACGACGACTCCCCGTGCTGGAGGCCGGGGATGTCTCGAGCGAGAGGGGGGACCGCACCACCAGGGAGACCCCCCTTGCCTCCTCGCGCGGCTTCTCCTCAGGTGGCTTCGGCCATCCCGCCGATCCCCAGCAGAGAGAGGGAGAGCTCGCGACGATCGCGGAACCCAGTGTGGTCTATCGTTGAGTCGGGCCTGTCTACAGGGGGAAAACTCAAACATGGTGAACACTAGTCTGGGGACCATTTTTTGGGAGCAGTCTTTGACCATTAGGGCGTATTTTTGGGGTATTTTTTTTTGTTCGTCCAAAATCCCCTGTAGGGGGACAGGCCCGACCTAAGTCTATCGGGCCCGAGTGCAAGGGCCAGTCCGACGGCGCTCTGGGGGCGCACCCTGAGCTCTCCGCGGCGCGTGCTGGCGGTCTCGGGGGGCCCCTGAGGCGGGGTGCTCGACGTGCAGATTTGAGCTACCTCTCCACGGGGCCCTCCCGGGGGCCCCGTCGGGGTCCTCTCGAGCCCTCCTGGGGGCCTCCTGCTCCCGTGGTGTCCTCATGTGCGGCTCTCCTCATGCTGCTTCCGGAGCCACCTCGGGCCCATCTCGGGCTCGTTTTGGTCAGGGGCCACTGCGGCCTCTCGCACCTGGGGCGGCCTCGGCCACGCCCTCGCCCTCGCCCTCGTCGCTGCCCCCGCCGCCCGCCGCCGCCTGGGCCTTGCCGCCCTCACCGCGGCCGCCGCTTCCGCCGCCGCGTCCGCCGCGTCCGCCGCCGCCGCTGCCGCCGCGGTCGTCGTCGTCGTCGTCGTCGTCGTCGTCGTCGCCGTCGTCGCCGTCGTCGCCGTCGCCGTCGTCGCCGGTTCCTTCGTCGCCGTCGTCGTCGTCGTCGTCGTCGTCGTCGTTGTCGTCGTCGTCGTCGCCGTCGTCGTCGTCGTCGTCGTCGTCGTCGTCGTCGTCGTCGTCGTCGCCGCCCCCCCCCCCTCTTAACGTTCCCCCTCACTGCTGCCCCGCGCCGGGGGGCAGGGTCGACTGCAGCTTCACGGCGTGGCAGGACTGGACCTCCTGCAGCGCCTCCTGCGGCACGGGCCGCATGTCGCGCCTCCGCGAAGTCGACGCCAAGGCAGCGGCGGCGGGTCGGCCCCGCTCCTGCGGGGGGGGTCGCTGGGCCCAGCAGCGGGCGGCCCTCGGCAGCCCTTGGCGGCCGTCGGAGGCTCTCGGCGGCCTTCGGCGGCCGTCGGAGGCCCTCGGCGGCCCTCGGAGGCCCACGGCGGCCCTCGGCGGGGCCTCGGAGGCCCTCGGCGGAGCCCTCGGAGACCCACGGCGGGGCCCTCGGAGACCCACGGCGGGGCCCTCGGAGGCCCTCGGCGGGGCCTCGGAGGCCTCGGCGGGGCCTCGGAGGCGAGGCCCTCTGGGGTCCTCGGCGGGGCCTGGGAGGCCCTCGGACGACGGCGAGGAGTTGGCGGAGGATGGGGGGTTGTTCGAGGCCTCCTGGGTGGGGTCGGAGTAGTCTGGGTCCGAGGATCGCGCCGCATCCCCAATCTGCATCGGCAATGCGGCTGGATGCGGAGCCCGATTCTCTCCACGCCGACGTCGCCGATGCTTCGCCGATGCGTCGCCGACCCAATCCAAGAGGCCTCTAGTTCTCTAGCTGGGGGGAGGATGCCGAAGAGGTCGGGCGAGCCCAGGTCAGGTCGGGTCAGGTCAGTCGCCTTGGAGGCGCATGCCAAGAAACACTCTGCTTGCCTCCAGGGTGCCTTGGGTTTCTTGGGTCTCGATGGTTTTGCTGTGGCAAGCGCGACGTTCCCACAAAAATCAATGGACGTCCTGGGGTCTCAGGGTTGGGTTTCTTGTAGGAGGTTTTGTGGACTGGCCTCCACTGTACGCCAGGCCCACGGTGCGCAAGCAGGGGAACACGCCACGGCGTAGAACTCAGATGCGCCATTCGCCGTCAGCCGGCTGACGTGCGGTCGGGCGGGTCCAGGACCAGGGTCCGCCCCTCGTCGCCCTGCCGCGGCTCGAGGTTCTGTCTCTCTGGGCCGGGCGTGCTGGGCCACCGCGCGACGATGCGCACGAGAGACGGCGGTTCGTCGACGGAAAATGTGGGACGCTTTTGGTGCCCAGGCGTCCTGTCGCCAGGCCTGCAGACACCGCCCGCTCGTCCGGAGTGGAGCGAGTTCAGCGGGCCCCGCCCACCCCGGAGCTCCTTCCCCTTAAAGCGTCGCCTGGCGAGTGACGAGTGCCGGGTCTCGCGCGCTGCTCCGCTTCGGACGGGCGACCTGATGACGGAGGCCAGCATGCGTCTGACCCGAAGCGAAAACGTTGAGTCCAGAAAGAGAGATATACATATCTATACAGATATATAGACATGTGTATGTATATATATGTATATATATATATACACAAGTATCGGGAGACATAAGGAGGGAAGGAGAAATAGAGAGATAGAGAGCGAGAGGGAGAGGGAAAGAGCTCAGCCAACTTACGATGAGCAGATCGCGCCGATGGATTCTCACGCGAGGCTCCTCGCAGCAGTTGCACCAGTCCTTCTGGAAGGGCCATGGTGCCAAGCGCGCAAGTCGCCCGCCCATTGGGCCGCCCTGGGGGGCGTTGGCAGCTGTCTGCTGTTCGCTGTCCGTGGGATCTGAGTCGAGCGCAACGTTCGGCTCCCACCTGGCCCAGTGATCGGCAGCCAAAGCGCCGCGCCCGGGCGGAAGAAACGGCCCGCGCTGCGCTCGGTCGAGCACGATGCTTCGTGCTCTCTTTTTTTTTTTCTCTCTCTCTCTCTCTCTTTCTCGCGGGCGCTGGCGGCGCGTGCCCTTGTGGAGGACGTGTGGCGTCGGGTGGGGGTGTTGGTGCCGACGCCTCCTTGGCGGCGGAGGTGCGAGACATTCACTTTGCACGTTGCGCATGCTATCCGTGCCAATCCTACGTGGCTTGAGCTACTTCGCGGACGATTTCTGGCGAGGCCCTTCGAGGGCCCTCTCAGGTCCCGCCGGGGCCGCCGAGTGCCGAGAGCTCCCGGCAGCCATTGTCGACAGTTAGCAAAAGCAATGCCGCCGACAGAGTTGTCGAAAGGGCCGCCAAAATTGCCGCTTAAAGGGCCGCCGAAAGAGCCTGCGAAAAGGCCGCCAGAATTGCCGCCGAAATTGCCGCCGAAGTTGCCGCCGAAGTTGCCGCCGAAATCGCCGCCGAAATTCAGCGAGCGAAGAACGGTATAACATAAACTTTTCCGCTGTCGGGGGCGCCTGTCCCTGGGCGGCTGGAAAGTTTATGCCCCTACGGTGCCACCGTAAGGGTATAAACTTTCCAGCCGCCCAGGGACAGGCGCCCCCAACAACGAACAAGGTGATGTTATACCGTTCCTCGCCCGTCAAGAAATTGCCGCCAAAATCGCCGCCGAAATTGCCGCCGAAATTTCCGCCGAAGTTCCGGATTGTGCCACCAAAAAAGGTCGAATTTGACTTCGGTTGTGGCTCTGTGCCTGTGTCCGCGGCGGCAGCGTGGTTAATGAAAAAGTGATTCGCTTGGGACAGGAACATGACAATTTCGGCGGCTGACTTTCGGCGGCTGAATTTCGGCGGCTTTTTTGCCGGAGTTCGCAATTTTTTCGGCGGCCATTTCGGCGGCAATTTCGTCGGCAAGTTCGGCTGCAAGTTCAGCGGCAATTTCGGCGGCAATTTCGGCGGCAATTTCGGCGGCAATTTCGGCGTCGATTTCGGCGGCAACTTCGGCGATGAATTCGGCGGCCCTTTAGACGGCCTTCCTGGCGGCCCATTCAAGGACCATTTCGGCGGTTTTGCTTTTGACAGCTGTCGACGAATGCTGAGGGGAGCTCGTGGCCCTCGGGTGTGGCAGAGAGTCGATGTGCGGCGACGCGGGCTGACGAGCCCTCAGCGCGATGATGATTGTAACATTTGTTCTCTTTTGGTTGGGCGGTGATGATGGCAAGTTTGATGCTCGTCAGGGAACGTTGCAGGCGGGCCCGCGCGCCCAGCAATTCATGTTTTCAAGAAGTAACGAAATTGCCGCGCAACTCCTCCGGAATTCGGCGGCTATTTTTGGGGTCGTGGCGGCTCCAAAGGATTGTCCTCGGTGACTTTGGTAACGCGATATATCTTGCTTTCACACCGATGACCGCCGACGACCGCCGAAAAAAAAAACGTGTCGGGCCGCAGTCCGCGCAGCCGAAGGACCGCCGAACACCTCTGCACGCCCCCGCGGCATCCCGAGTGTCGACGCGGCGGCGGCCCCAGCCAGAGCGCTAAAGCTGCCGACGGCCTGAGTGTACCCAGCCGCGTAATGTCGGGTGTCGCTAGAAGTGCCCCTGGCCCAAAGTCCCTCCAGGATTTTCGGGGTGGCCCAAACGGCCTCCGGGGCACCCCTCGCGAGGCCCAGTGGGCCTCCCGGGCTCCAGCATGGAACGAAAAATTGTGGGCAGTTCGGGCCAGGGGCAGTTCTAGCAACACCCGATAATTAGGTGCCCCCCGACGCGATGGCGATCTTCGACCGCGGAATGATAAGGCGCATGCGCAGAATGGCACGGGGCATTGTGTTTGTTCCGGCCCCCACAGCCGAAGATAATATGCACCGTGCCGCGTTGGAGCGGGCTTTCAAAGGCAAAGGGAGCCCAGGCACTGTGCACGGGCGCCGTGTTCGTTGTCAAGCCCGAGCACCGCCGGTGGCCAGGAATCGGCCGTCGTCGGGCGGTCCGCGCTGTCGGGGGGCCGCGTTCGGTCGGGTTGTGGAGCGACCCGCGCAGTGCCAGAAGCCAATATGCTGGCGTCGTCACGGCATGAAACCGCCGTAGGGGTCAGCCACGCGCAAAGGGTGATGGGGGGAGGGGGGAGGGCTTCTTAGAAACACCCCTGCTTCTTAGAAGGTGCGGGCCTCATCTGTAGATGCACGGCCGGCGCCTTGTAAGAAACAGCCTCTTTCTAAGCAGCCTTCCCCCCTCCCTCCACCCCCTTGTGTGTCTCGCCAAGGGGGTCAGAGGCGGATGCTAAAGTCGGGCCGAACGAAAGGAGGGGATCGGGAAAGTGGGGGTTACGAAATCTGCTGCGCGCAGCTGGTTTCGGCCCCGCCGCCGTGCTCATTCTTCGATACATGGGCGCCTCCCGTCGCTGGGAGGCGCTGGGAAAATTAGCTACGCGAGCTGATTCTCACCCCCCCTTTGCTATCCCCCTTTTTCGCCCGGCCCGATAAAGTGGATTGCGGTTGAAAGCGTTTGGATGGGGACTATTTCGGGTTCAGGAAGGGGGCTCGGGTTCTGAGGCCGTTCCGACGATTGCAGGGGGTCGCTAAGCTGGTGTTGCTAAGCTGGTTTGTCTTTCCTCCTCCTCCTTTCAGGAGTGGGAAAAAAAACACACAGACACAATTAATCGTCGAACCCCCAGAAAATATGGGAAAGTATGGGGAGTGTGGGGGAAGACAAAAACCCAGAAAATATATGAACATTTGGGGGATCCTGTTTTTTGTGTGTATTTATTTGTGTGTCCCAGGGTCCCTTCATCCTTGTCCTCCCCTTCTCCTTCCTTCCCCTAATGGATGCTGTGGTGTAGTAATGGCCACTTGCACGGCGTGGTGGTGCCAGCGTTCGTTGCGACTTGGCCGTGCCGCACTCGTAATTGCCCGCATTTCCGCCCCAGAGCCTAATCATACTATCCGGTCTCATCTTCTCTCCCCCCCCCCCCCCCAAAAGACAAACTGGCCAAGATTAGCTTGCAATTGGATTGCACGCGCCCTAGGTGGTTTAGGAGGGTTCGGTAGCTTTGCTAAGTGGGCGGAGTCCACTTAGCACGGAGCTTTGCCCTCCTGAGCCACATTGGGGATCCGTAGCCGCTGAAAAGCTGGCCTAGGCCCGGAATGGCCTACCTTGGTGCCCACTTGTGGCCCCCACCCTGTCCCGTTTGCATGAGCCGCTGTGGTCCAAGTGGCCGGAGGCAGCGCACGACGGGTCCCAGACATCCGTTGAATTGTTTTCGTTCAGTGCGGGTCTCCAGAGGTTTCGTCCCTTTTTTCCTCAGGTCAGAAACCTTTGATCCCAGTTGTTTTTGTTGAAGGCCCCCAGGGGCCAGGGCAAGGACCGCCTGGGAGGCCGAAGAGCGGCGGAAGATCTCTCCCCCCGACGTCTGTCTCCTGTCCAAGAGACGTGATGTCCAGGGTCGACGACGACGTCGGCGACGGCAGCGGCGGCGTGGCTGAGCGGCTGGGTTCGGCGGCAGTGACGGCGGCGGCGTGCGTGGGCTCGGCGGGCACCCGCGCGGGCGCGGATTGCGCGCCGATAGGCGGCGCATGGTGGGGCGACCTGCAGCGACGTGCTTCTGCAGGTCACGAGCTGCTCGGGGGAGGACGCCGTCGCCGCCCGCCATGCATCAGCATCCTCCTCCTCCTCCTCCTCCTCCTCCTCCTCCTCCTCCTCATCATCATCATCATCATCATCATCCTGCTCCTCCTCCTCGGCGTCGTCGTCGTTCTTAGCAGTTGGCAACAGCATCGTCGTCGTCGTCGTTGTTGTCGTCACCCGCAGCATCATAATCAGCATGAGCATCTGAATCAGCATCAGCATCATCATCATCATCATAACTATCGTCGTCATTATCATCACCATGACCACCACAACCATCATCAGCATTTTCGTCACCATTCTCAATACCATCACCATCACCATTATCAGCATCAGCCACATCATCTTAACCAGTAGCATCATCACCATCACCATCACACACCCGTTCACGGGAGTGGCAACTTGCAGGATGCCAAGAGGATGGGGGGGTTAGAAGTGAATACAACTGTGGGGTACCTGTGGCCCGAAGTAGTTTATACATATGTGAGAAGTGTCCGAGGCCTAGGTGGGTAGAGGTCCGCCCTGTGCGTGTTCGTGCAGTTATAGGCTACGCTATGCCTGACATGGCCCACGTTATCTATCACCTTTCACCCCATAGGGTGATCCCAGGAGAGACATGCGCGATTGGAAGTCACACGGATATGCTCGGGTTCGACGTATTTTGGGCGTGTCGGAGGGGCCGCCTTGCTTTTTGTGACGCTGCCGTGCTGTCTGGACCTCGACTTAAGAGTTTCACCAGCGTGTGAAAGCTGCGGACGCCTCGCAGTTAGCACCTCCACCAGTGCGCAGACTTCTCCAGCCTGGCTCCATGGCGCGTCGTCGTGGGTGCGTGCCCACCCCACTCGCCGAACAGGGGACACCAGGGCAAAGCCGGGTCGCAATGCCGCTCAACGAGCGCGGACTCCTCATAAAGCCTAGCCACCACAGGCACTGACGGACGAGGAGGAGGAGGAGGAGGAGGTGGAGGAGGAGGAGGAGACGGAAAAGGAGGAGATCTCGCATCATGCTGGCGCCCCTCGTGCACGCTCGCCTACCATCATTTGCTGCTGCTGTTGTCTACCCCGGATCATTCGTTCTCCCATGAATGCGTTTCAGTTTGTCATTCAGAAGGAGGATCCGAGGAGGGGATGCATCCGTAGCAACCCCCTGTGGGATCGATCTTCGAGGATCTCGGCAGACGGTGGACATGGATATCTTTGGCTGTCCCAGGGCCAGGGCCAAAGATGCATCCATACCCACCGTCTGGCGAGGTCCCTGAAGATCGACCCCTTGCTGGTGGTTGTGTATGAGCCCCTGCCTCGCAAAGGAGGATGTGGAGGACGAGGCGGAGGAGGAGAAGGAGGAGGATGAAGTCGTCGTCGCCCTCGTTCCCAGCTCCTGGGGCCACTCGTGGAGCGGAGCAGCGGGAGTCCCCTCCCTCCTCCCCCCCCCCGCCGCAGGAGTGGCACGTTGGCCGAGCGGTTTTAAAGGCGTCGGCCTGCTCAGCCGACGGGGCCTCCCCGCGTGGACGCATCGAGCACACTCCCTGCGAAGCCGCGCGTCGCATCGTCAGCCCGCCGCGGGAAGCTCCTCCCCCCCTTGGTTCGGGGCTGGACAGAACCCCCAACAGGGACACGTCGATTAGTGAATTGTCCGTTTTCGGTTCTCGAGAGGGCGCCGTGGCCGTTATTTTCCCGGCTTGCGCCCGCCAGGTTTGGGCCTCAGGTCGTTTTCACTAAACCACGTTTTACTAAAGGGAGGTCTGTCCATCCCCGATTGGCGCCCTCAACCGCAGAGCGGCCTCGCAGCCCTCTGCCCCTCCTCGTCCTCGGAGGCCCCGACCGCTGCTGGGCCAGGCTTCCGCCCCGACTCCTCCTGGCGGTCGGCCCACGGGGGTCCCGGCGTGGGCCCCCTGAGGCCGGACTTGGCGAAGACCGTCGCGCTGTGCTTGAAGCACGTTGGAGGTCTGGGATCCCCCTCCTCCTCGCGCACTCGCGCCGCACTGTCGGAGGAGGGAAATGTGTACCCATACCTCTACCCTTCGCCCGCTTTCCCCTTTTTGGGCCTCCTGGGAGGTTCTCGTTGCCACCGCTGGATTCGCCTTCACATCCCGGTCAGAACGCACCCTGGGAGAGGTCCGGGGAGTAGCGGTATCGGTACCTTTTGAATTCCCCAGTTTGGCCGTCGCGGAAAGATTGACCTCGACACAGCTCTTCAGGGCAGACATCCTTGCAGGGCCCCCCCCCTTTTTGGTGTTCTGTTCTGGGTCCCCCCCCCGCGTCCGTGGGGCCCACCCGAGGCACGGCCTCCCAGGGATGCCTGGTCCCGCGAGCGCTCTTGCGCGGCCTCCCGCGGAGGTCGGCCTCGTTCGGCCGCCCGGTGCAAGCCGCCCAATATGGCTCCAAGAGGGCCCAGGAAGCCCCCAAGACGCCCCCAGAGGCCTCCAAGAGGCCTCACCAGAGGGTCTCAAGAGGCCAAAATCATGGATTTCCCCTCGGTGTTTGAAGGATTCGGGCGTCCTCGACTTCTCGGCTTCCTGACGCTCCCAGGCGGCCCCCGAGGCCCCCAAGACCGCCCCAGCCTCTCCTTCTCCCCCCTGCCTTTGTGTTTCTCCGGCATTGCTGGCCTCTTGTCGTTTTGTTTTTGGCCGGCTGTGGCTGCTGGTCCGTTCCAGACCTTTTGATCGTTCGAGCTCTGCATTGCTCCGTACCGCTTTGCATTGCTCTGAGCTGCTATGCGTTGCTTTGACCTGCTGTTCCTTGCTTCGCATGCGTTGCATTGCTTTGTGCTGCTTTGCATTATTGTGCATTGCCCTGCGTTGCTTCGCATTGCTTTGCGTTGCTTTTCAATGAGAGCGCTTTGCGTTGCCTTGCATTGCTGTGTCTTGCGTGTTTTGCATTGTGTTGCATTCGCTTCGCATTTGGTTGCGTTGCTTGGCATTGGTTTGCGTTGCGTTGCATTGCATTGGGCTGCATTGCTTCGCTGTGCTTTGCATTGCAGTTCTTTGCGTTGCATTGCATTGCATTGCCGTGAATTGCTTCGCATTGTTTTGCAATGATTTGCTGCATTGATCTGCATGGTTCTGCATTGTCCTAAATTGTCCTGCATTGTTCTGCATTGCTTTGCAGTGCAGTTCTTAGCATTGTGTTGCATTGCTTCGCATTTGTTTGCGTTGCTTTGCTGCGGTTTGTACTGCGTTGCATGGGTTTGGATTGGTTTAGTATTTCTTTGTGTTGCGTTGCACTGCGTTGCTCTGCATTGCTTTGCATCGTTTTCCATGGCTCTGCATTGTTCTGCATTGTTCCCCATCGCTTTGCATTGCTTTACTTTGGTTTATGTTGCTTTGCAATGCTTTGCATGGTTCTGCATTGCTCTTCATTGTTTGGCGTTGCTTTGCTTTGCATTGCAATGCAACGCTTTGCGTTGCCTTGCGCCTGATATATTGCACCATCCACATAGATTGCACAACCTACGTTGCACCACATGGCTTGCACCACTCATATTGCAATGAACCACTGTTCGGGGTCAGCGTTAGCTAACACGTACATGTGTGTATGTCATTTTTACGTACTGGTATGTAGACAGCGCTATGCAGACACATGTGTGTATAGAGTGTCGTTGCCGTTGCTGTTTTGCTTTACTCCATCCGCCTCTTTCCTGCAGGGCCCGCCCCTGGCGCGCGCCGCGCCCACCCCCCGCAGGAGTGCCCCAGCAGAGACTGCAAGGTCAGCGCCTGGAGCGAGTGGTCCATGTGCGACGAGGACCGCTCCGCGCGATCCGCCTCACGAGCTTTCGGGTGCTGTCGGGCGCGATGATGGCCCTTTTGGGCCGCTATCGGGCCCCAGGGCCAACGAGAACGGATCCGGGAGGAAACATATCAGAGTTTCAATGTTTTTTTTCGTACGCTGACCATGGCGCCTGCCGGCGGCGCACCCATTTATCACACGCATTCGGTTGTTACCAAAAGATTTGCCAGAATGCCCGCGTCGGCGCAAGCCTGCGCGGCGGCACCTCTCATATCATTTCGTGGCCGGAATTGGAAATGACCAAGATTACACATGACCGGAATTTGAAGTTGGCGCTCTCTGCCCACAAGGGCGGGGTGTGGGACATCAATTGCTGCGCATTGAACAAGTCACATCGTCGGATATCTGGGACTGACGACGACGGACGACGGACGACGACGACGACGATCGCAGCGTGCGAAAGAGGGATATTTGTGAGAAAGGATCAGGGGCACCGGTCGGAGGGGACAGGCTCAGGGCCAAGGGGGACGCGTCGACCCACAATCGCCCGTTCATGACCGATCGGGGCACGATGGCCCACCCCGCCCTGGACCGTGCCTTGTCGCTGTCGGGGGCCCGTCGCCGATCTATCAGGATCTATCGGCGATGCGTCGCCGATTCCAGCTCGATCTGTCCCACCCTTCGACATTCCCCCCTGAAGCCCCCCCCCCATCCCGGAGGTTTCCCAGCCACGGGATGCGTTCTAGCTGCCGCCCCTCGCCAAGGAGGTTCCGCCTCCTGGGAGCCTCATGGGGGCCTCATGGGGCCTCTTGGGCCGAGTGAGGATGCTTTTGGCCAATCTGACGCCTTCATAAACAGTCTTGGCGGCCTCTCTGGACCGTCTTGGTGCCCTCTAGGAGCGCTTTTGCGCAGTCTCGCGGCCCTTCCGGGAGTCTCTTGGAAGGTCTTGGGGTTCTCTTTGGGGCCTCTTGGGTTGTCTCGGGGCCATCTTGGGGGCCTCTTTGACCGTCGTGGGCGGTGGGAAACCCAAACATCCAAACATGCGATAACCTCAACATCCGGGAAAGCCTTTCTGTGATTTTTCCATCATCGAGCATTCTAGGAGGCCTTTCGGAGCTCTCTTCGGCCGTCTTGGAGGCTTTTCGAGCCGTCATGAGGTCGTATAGGGGGCCTCTTATGCCGTCTTGGGCCATCGTGGGCTATCTTGCTGTTCTCTTGGCTGCCTCGGAAGTTGCTTTGTTAGCCACTGTCGCTGCCTGGAGGCGGAACAGAACGCCAAGAAAAACATGCAGGGGAGTGGATTTTTAGGGGTGCGCGAGATGAGGGGGGCGGGGGGCGGCCCCACAAAACCACAGAACATGTCCCAGACAACCGACGAGTGAACATTCTAACGAGCCCACTCCGTGTAGACGAGGGAGACGAGGAGGGGGTGTCCATGCCCTGACCCCGACGCGAGGGGGTGCCTTAACGCCATCCTGGGCCGTTTTGCCGATCCGTGACCGTGCTCGCTGTCTTGGGACAGCCCTTTCGACGTCCGGCGCCCCTGGCATTCTATCGGGCCTCGACGTGCCAGAGGGCACGTTGGCGGATTTATGTGTGCAACAGTTGCCACTACCTTGTTGAGATCACTGTTCTCTTTGGCTCATATTCGGCTATGAGGCATATGCGGTATATCGCTCGGCCCGGCAGCGTCGAAATGGTTCGCGGTCGCCGCGTGCTCCCAGCGGCTTGCGGTGCGCTCGCGGCAGCCGCCTGCCATCGCAGAGGCGCCCTTGTGCCAAGGCCCGTGCGCGATCGCGTCGCACCGTTTGGTGCAGTCCGCTGCTGCGGCGTTCGGCCCTCCCGCGCTGGCGGATGATATCGGCGATGCTGCGATGAGGCTCGGCGTCGCTTTGCGCGCGTTCGTCAAAGAGGTCGACTTGAACAGCGGAATCTTATTGCAGCCTCCTTGCTGGAGGCATTGAAGGCCATCGACAACAATCGCTGGAGCAATGCAACCCGCAGAAACGCCAGGGAAGGCGGAGATGGGAACCAGCCCGTGAGCGAATACGATTCTGTTCAACAGTTTGAGGATGTTTACACTTAGCGACTGCACCAAAACGCCGGACATCAAAAGGATAAAGGCGGTGCGCCACGTTGGACGAGGATGTCTGGTGCCTGTCCAACGACAAACCTGAGGGAACAGAACCCAGGAGAGAGCTTTGGGGCTTGCGTGCAGGAGATGGTACGACGGTATATCAAATGGCACTACAGGTGGTGCTCTACGGTTGCTGGGGGTGCACATTCGCGCGAGATGACTCTGGTCATGGACCCAGCAGAACCGAATCATATAAACGTTACAGCTCTGCTGTTTGAGCGGTGGAGCGCGTTAGTAATTCACTGGGACAAGTCTTGGTTTGCCGATGCTTTGCCGCTGCCAGTTAGGGTTGCAGCCTTGAGAATCATCGTGGCCCACGCAGGCGGTCGGTTTGATGGCTTGCAGCAGGATTGCTTCAAAACCCCAGAGACGTTGAACATCCGCGCCTACCGGAAGCTTTTCGTAAAGTACGAGGATTGGGCCAGGAAGAACATGCTAAGCGCCGACGCGAAGATAGCCGGTTCCATTGTCGCTGGCCAGGTTGGCGAGATTGGGAGATGGAAGACCTACTGGGACTGTGCAGTTTATTGCGTTAAGGCAGGGAACTGGCGGCCGCCCCGGGCCGTGGGAGATCTGATCGAGAACAGCTGCGCGAACGAAGTGAGTTACGGGAAACGGCGAGGGCAGCGGGGCCCATGCGCCACGCGCCGCGGGCGCGAGGGGCGCGGGCGCGCGGCCGAGGACTGCGCCGCCATGGGGCCGCCGCAGTCAAGGATGCGGAATAATGAGAACACTGCAAATTTGTCAGGGGTTGCCAATGTGCGCGGGAGGGGGGGCGCGCGGGAAGATATCCAGGCGCCGGGGACATGCCTGGATGGGGTTCGCGACGGTGGGCCGCGCCCGGGGCCCGCCCGGGAGGCCGCCGAAGGAGCCGAGCCCCAGGCTGGAAGGAGGGGGGGGGGCGGGGATTTGCGCGGATCGGCGAGAGGGGGCGCGGCGATTGCGGCGAAAAGAGACGCATTGCAGCCCTCTGCCCCTAGAGTCCCAACGGGGTTGCTCGTGGTCGAGGATGGGCAGGGGGCCCGGGAAGCCAGTGCAGATGTCGGGGCAACCGTTGCCATGGACTGGATGCCACAGCGTCGAGTTGGTCGGGGTCGCCGACGAAAGTAGAGGCGCTGATTTGCCCGATGCGCCGGGGCCGCCCGCAGGGGCGCGGGGGCCGGGGCCGCGGCGCAAGGCGGCGAAGGGGGGCGTCCGGGAGGCCAGGTTCGGGTTCAAGAGGAAGTGCGCGGCATCAGTTGCGACCGCGGCGCCAACTGGGACAACCGCATTTCGGGGCGCATCGAGCATTGGGGAAGTTGGATGCAATAGCGCGCCGAGCGAATGCGCCGAGCTGCAGTAGCGGAGACGGAGGGCCCCAACGTCGAAGTCATTCAAGTACTGGGGACTGGCCGGGAACGTGGCATGGCGGCGATTGCTGTCGCTGTAGATGCCGGGGCGCGCGACGCTTTTGGGCCCCCGAGCGCAGTTGCTCACGCGCCAAGGTCTCCAAGAACTGCAAGTTACAGTGCAGCGATGGGAACCGGCTAGCAGGGGGGATCGGCTTCCATGGCGAGCACGCCCATCCAAGTTGCCGATGTTAAACGGGTATTAGGGGCCCGCGGGTCAGATGGATGATGCTTGGGACCGCAGGGCGTTGGGTCGGCGCGCAGGTGGGCGATGTTGTAGCTACCTCGAGCTTGAACCAACTAGACAGAAGACGGCGATCTACGCGCCAGATCGATCGGGCAACGCCCGCAGAAGTGTCCCGAGAGATGCGATATTTGCCGGCCCATCGTGAATCTACGACGTTCCCCCGTTCGCTGTGCTATCTGCCCGCGCCCCCCCCCCGCGCGCGCGTCTTGGCATGTCTCGGAATGGGCGTCGCCCCGCTGGGCGCGCGGCATCTGCCCCCCCCCCCCCCCCCCCGAGCGCGCGTCCCCGGCGTGGGCGGGGCGGGCCTTCCACCCCCTCATGCGCGCTCAGAGCTACGCAGATGCCCCCCCCAGCCTTTTTTCGCTTGAGACATCCAGCCTTAGCCCTCGGCCCCAAACCTCCTGCTTGTTTCGCCTTGCCACCTCGCGGGGCGTGTGCTACACTTCCTGGGCCGCTTTCCCTGCGACCCCGCCTGCCCCCCCTCCCTGCCCCCCCCCTGGGCGGGCGCTGCCTGCCTGGCCCGCAGTGGCCCCCGGGGCGCCCCCGGGCTTCCAGTCGGCCCGAGCTTCCGCGGCGCTGGCTTGCCGCCCATCTGGGTGCCGCCCGCTACTCGGGCCCCCCGCCCTCCTCCGCCCCCCCCCCCCCCCCCCCTTCTCGGCTTCCCTCCGAGGGTGCATGTGTATTTGGGAGGCCCCAAGCGCGCGCTTTACCCCCCTCCCTCTTCCCCCCGCGGAGCGCGTGCTATCTGCCTGGCGTAGCGTAGCCCCCCCCCACCCCCCCCCCCCCTTGCCCTGCCTGCCATTGAAGTTGGCCTTGGGGGGGGGGGGGGCTGTGAAAAGCTGGATTCACGCGGCGCCCTGCGGGTGCCAGCGAGCCGCGGATTCTGCCCCAAAGGTGCTCGGGGGCGCGCCCAAGGGGCCCGCGGGCGAGGCCGTGGCCGCCAGCCTCGGCTGCCGGTCGCCCGACGAAGATACTGAGCCAGGCATGCGTCGAAGATCGTTCAAGTCAAAGCACGGCGTTTGGGGCGCCGCCAACAAATTGCAATGCATGCGCGGGATTTGCGCGGGACATAGGTTTTGACAATGGGGCATCATCGCCATGTGTGTTTGCGCGCGACCCAGAGGTTCCACGGTTCCAACAGATAGAACCTTATGTCGTGGTTCTATCACGATAGACCCCTTTCGCACGGTTCTAACCACCACTGTCATGGTTCTATCCATGTTATGTAAATACACTATTTTTC